GGTGGGTTTGAACCGCCAGCCGTCTGGTTAGCAGACAAGTGTCTTAGCCACTATGCTACCAGAGCTATACGTTGCATAGTATTCCATTAAAAGACACGTTTTTCACGTGAGGAAATTCTCTATTATCAACTGCAGCTTTGTCTATTATTACTCTCAGTATTTGTTACTTAGTATGAAACACAAGCACACACACACACATAAAAATGTTTCCTTTTTCTTCACATCTGTTTTTCTCCACTTCTTTCTCAAAATGTTTTACATATGCCATTGTTTTGTGTCCTAATTAGTTTTCCTGTTCCATTGTTTCAAACATCACAGCTTATTACATAGAACTTTACCAAATTAAGTTACAAGTGTTAGATACTGAAAAGTTTAAAGAAACACATGAGAATGCTGATTATCTATCACGGGTTAAGGAGTCAGTCTCTAGCAGTTCATGATTCTAAACACACTGAAATTCTTAAACACTTGAACACAAATGTTAATTTCAGTTTTCAGAATGAAGGGCTAAGTAGGACTTCATCGTCCTAAAGCATACTTCCAGCTTTTTCAAACATAAGGGTAAACTGGAAACGTAGGTACCACTTCCAACATTTTATAACAGAGTAATTACTTAACCCAAGGCCCCAACAGCCCACCATTTCTGGTAGTCCCTTCGAATTTTAGACGAGAATCGAGTAACAAGGCGTAGCTCGCCCAACTTTGGGCTCCTGATTGCTTTTTGCCTGTCCTGAGTCAGCCCTTTGCACTACTCCTCCAGAGTAGACATCTTTTAACGCCCGAAGCTCCAAGACTTCTCTCTCGCCCCCGCGTCAAATATCATTCCTCCTCTTTTCGAACCCGGCAACGCATCCCTGCCCACTTCCCCACCATGGTCCGGGAGACACCCCTCCCCCATTTAACTCACCGCCCACGCTGACACCAGAGCCGCCACCCCACCCCACCCCTTCGCTTTTGCACCTTTCGAATGCTTCTCTCAGGCAGCGGGTAAACGCCTGCTCCTCTGCCTGCCCGCCTCCATGCCTTCACTCTCAGGCCTGCCACCCCTAAAGACCCGCCGGTACCCACCTCGAAGAGCTCGGCCGTTGTAGCCATCCCGGCCGGCTGAGAGGCTCGCCCTGCACTAGATGCCGTCTCTTCTTCACATGCTGCGCCTCAGCGGCGCCGCGCACAGGCCCCCTCCCTGTTTGCCAGCTCCGGCTTCGGACCGCCGCTGGCTCCCCCACACTCCTCAGAGCCCAGGCGGGGCGGGAGAGCGGCCATGAAGCGAAGCCGCAGACGCCTGTCAGCTGCCTCCCGGCGCCGCCCGCCCCGCTCCCATTGTCACCGCCTCATACGCCGGAAGTGGAGCTGCGCGCGCCCAAGATTGTCGGGAGGGGCCGAGGAGAGTAGCAAGCATTAGGCGAAATGACGAGACGATCGTCTCACGAACAAGAGAGGAATCTTGATCCTTGCAGGCCACCATCCCGGAAGTAGTCTTTAGAAGAAGAAAGTGATTGGGTCGTTGGGAATAAGTAAGTTTCTCCGGCTTCTAGGTACAGATTGACATGGAAGATTTTATGGTATGTTTTGGCTAGGCGGGCTTCAGGGCTTTAGTCATCTTACTTGTGGAGCTAGCTTCTCCGCAGAGCCCTCCCTGTAAGTGGTGGGGGAGAAGGTGGCTAAGGGTGAGCCTCGGCGCTTCAAGTTAAGTTCATACGAGAAAGTCCGTCCGTGTTCTTCTTGGTGGCTACGTTAGAAGTAGGCTGAATGTTTATTGGTCCATCATGGCCCAGCGGGCAATGTGGCTCATCAGCCACGAACCGGGAACTCCACTTTGTGGCACCGTGAGATTCTCCAGGTAAATACAGGTCTGAAAACTCAGGGACGATGGATCGGAGAGAATATACCAACATAATGTAGCATTATTTTGTGATGTAATATATCCCACCTACTCCACAACTCAGCCTCCGTTCCATCTGTTAAATGGAGGTTTTAATACTAGTACTTCATAGTGTTGTGAAAATTAAAAGATTTGATGCCTGGCACTAATTTAGTATTACGTGTGTTTTCGCTATGAGTTGGATCCGACTCGACGGCAGAGTTTTTTGTGTTATTAGCATTATTGTATTTTATAATTAACTCCACCTGGTTAGGAGTGATACAGAGCTAACGAAAGGAAAGGGGGGGGGGCTTGGGCACTGACCGTGTGTCAAATTTCTACTCTCATTGATTAAACTCATTCAAGGGTATTTTAACTCATGCTATCGGAGAATGTTATTGAGCAATATTAGGCAGTTCCTTTCATCTTATATTTCATTGCAAGAAATTTTCAGTTTACTTTGAAGTTCTTAGTTGTTGGAGAAAATAATAGAAATACAGGAAGTTAAATTTTATCTTTAAATTTAATACAATATTAACTCCATAGGAGAGAGCACAACTCTATAGACAGAGTAGAACTGCTCCAAAGGGTTTCCAAGGCTGTAATCATTATGGAAGTGGACTGCCACATCTTTCTCTCCCAGAGCAGCTAGTGGGTTGAACTTAAAATCTTATGGTTAACAGCTAAACACTTAAATTTCTTCTTGTTGTTGAACTGAAGATTAATAATATTGTTTAGTCCATAGTTCATCAGCCTCCATATTTGTGCCCATTCCAAAGAAAGGTGATACCACAGAATGTGGAAATTATCAAACATCATTACTATCACACACAAGTAAAATTTTGCTGAAGATAATTCAAAAACAATTGCAACAGTATATTGACAGGGAGCTTCCAGAAATGCAAGTTGGATTCAGAAGAGGACATGGAACGAGGGATATCATTGTTGATGTAAGATGGATCTTGGTTGAAAGCAAAGAATACCATTAAAGATGTTTACTTGTGTTTTATTGACTATGCAGAGGCATTTGCCTGTGTGGATCATAACAAATTGTGGATAACATTGCAGAGAATGGGAATTCCAGCACACTTAGTTGTGTTCACGAGAAACCTGTACATAGACCAAGAGACTGTTGTTCTAACATAACAAGGGAATACTGAGTGGTTTAAAATCATGAAGGATGTGCATCGGGGTTGTATCCTTTCATCATACTTACTCAATCTGTATGCTGAGCATATAATCCGAGAAACTGGACTATATGAAGAAGAATGTGGCATCAGGATTAGAGGAAGACTCATTAACAACCTGTGATACACAGATGACACAACCTTGCTTGCTGAAGTGAGGAGAACTTGAAGCACTTACTGCTGAAGATCAAAGACTACAATCTTCAGTATAGTTTATACCTTAACACCAGAGCTCCCACCTCAATATAAAACAAAATCTTCACAGCTGGACTGATAAGCAACATCATGATAAATGGTGAAAAGATTGAAGTTGTCAAAGATTTCATTTTACTTGAAACCATAAACAACACCCATTGAAGCAGCAGTAAAGAAATCAGACCTCTGTTGCACTAGGCAAATCTACTGCAAAAGGCCTCTTTAAATTGTTGAAGAGCAAAGATATCACTTTGAAGACTAAGGTGCACCTAATCCAAGCCAGGGTATTTTCAGTTGCCTCATATACATGTGAAAGCTGGACAGTGAATAAGGAAAACCAACGAAGAGTTGATGCCTTCGAATTGTGGTGTTGGTGAAGAATACTGAAAATACCACAGACTCCAAAAGAACGAACAAATATGCCTTGGATGAAGTGCAGCCAGAGTGCTCCTTGGAAGCGAGAATAGCCAAACTTTGTCTCACCTACTTTGGTCATGTGAGAAGGGACCATTCCCTGGAAAGAATATCATGCTTGGTAAAGTGGGAGGGTCAAAGAAAAGAGAAGACCCTCAACAAGATGGATTGACACAGTGGCTGCAATGATGGGCTCAAGCAAAGCAAAGACTGTGAGGATGTTGCAGGGTAGGGCAGTGTTTCATTCTGCTGTACATAGGGTTGCTATGAGTTAGAATTACTGGCACCTAACAACTACAACAACAGCAATAGCCTCATGCGACTTTTGAGCTCTTGAAATATGACTAGTATAACTAAGCAACTCAATTTTTAATTTTATTTAATTTGCATTTGTTTGAATTTAACTTAAAATAACTATACGTTTCTAATGGCCACATATTGGGTGATACAGATCTAGGCCATTGGTTCTATCTGTTTTGTAGTACTCCATAGTGTACATCTTCCACATTTTACCTATCTCCTTCACCTGTTGATCTCTCAGGTTACCTCCAACTCAGCCATCAGAACAGTACTGCGCTGGGCATCCTCAAATAGGTCCACAGGGCATACCAATGCTGATTTTTACTAAATAAGTGCCAAACAATAGGCTTATCAGAATGCTTTCACCAACAGTGAGTGAGGCATCCTGTGTCTCCATTCTCTCTGAAAACCTATGCTATTTTTTCTCCAGTATAATGGGTATAAAGAATATTTTTGCATTTGCACTTCTTGGGTTTCCTCTTCTGTGAATTGTCTGCTCATACCCTTTGTTCATTTTTCCTTGAGAGCTGCAGTTTCTCTCTGTTGATTTGCAGGAGTTCATTGTATATTCTTTATGTTTAGTCCCATGTCATTTATAGATGTTACAGATATTTTCTCTTAACCAATCATTGTCAATGAACTTTGTTTTCCTTGGTTAACAGAAATTACTCATTTAATGCAATCAAATTAGTTACTGCTTTAGGGGTTTGGGGAAGTCTTCGCTGTCCTTTATTTTCCAACGATACCTTCCCTACATTACTTTATAATTTTACTTAGCTTTATAATTTTATCTGTTTTAGTTAAGTCTTTGATCCACCCATAATCCATCTTTGGATGTTGTGTTAAGTAGGAATATCATTTTGTTTTCCTCTATACAGTGAACCACTTTTCCTAAGGTCATCTTCCAAACAGCATACCTTTTCCTCATTGATTTGTGGGGCTATCTATAATATTATGCCCCCATATAAATATTAGTCTGTCTCAGTTATTTTACTTATTGTCTTTTCTTATGTACATGTGGGTTTATAGAATAATATCTCATAGAGGTGAGATTTTTACTTCTTTAAAAGGTAAGTACTTTGAAGAAGTCATGTTTCTTTATAGAATATTTTTCCCCCACTGAGTGCAAAATAATGTTTCAGAAGGAAAATTGAGATACGTTTGGGTGGGCTTTTCAACATCTCTATGGAGGCAGCTGGTAGCATAATGGATGGGGCATTTGGCTGCTAACTAGAAGGTCAGGAGTTCAAAACCACCAGCCACTCTGTGGAAAGAAGATGGGGCAATCTACTTCCACAAAGATATACAGCCTTGGCAACCCAGTGAGAGTCACTATGAGTTGGAATCAACTCAATGGCAGTGAATAGTATGGAGGCAGCAGGATGCGTTCACATAATTCATTCATCTGTTACTAATTTTATATCACTGGGTGAATTAGTTAAGTTTTATAATTCTCAGTTTTCTGACCTCTTGGGGCTGGTTTTAGGCTAAACATATACTCACTAGCATATTAACCACATATATGCCAAAGTATACCAACCTGTTGCCATCAACTCAGTTCTGATTCAGTACTCTATAGGACAGAATAGAACTGCCCTATAGGGGCAGTTTTCAAGGGTTTTCAAGGCTGTAAATCTGTTTGGAAGCAGACTGCCATGTTTCTCCCACTGAACACTTAACCACTGTGCCATCAGGCCTCCTTGCTAAAGTATAAGTAAGACTCAAGAAGGCCAATTATCTTTCCTCTATCTAACTAATCTCTTTTCCTCACACCAAAACTTGGTTTAGATTCTGTTTTAGAGGTTTGCTGTCAGTTTAAGAATGTCTTAGGTTTTAGGGCCAGTGAAGGTTTGAGTCCTGTTTTAGTGAAAGCCTAGGATAATCTGAAATGTCGGGATGAGTCATTCAACAAAATATGTATTGAGCACATATTGAGACATTGTATTAGATCCCTTGTATAGATTTAGTGCTGACACTTTTACAATTAAGAAGAACTTCAGCTCAAGAATAAGACTGTGGACTAGAGTTTAGCCCAGTTTTCATTTATTCTTAGGTAGAAACATAAAGGAAGAAATGGCATTCACCTGCTAAGTCTCTGCTGGCGGACTAAATACTTTCTTCCATTTCTCTGTCAAGAAAAAGTATCAGAATGTAAATGAAGGAGGCTCACTGATACATGGATAATGTTCAACACATTTTTATTTTAAAAAACTATTAGCAAATATCACTATTTTATTAGTAATACTAATACTGAAAACAATGTTCTGGCCAAATGTGTCCTTGACCCTTAATGAGGACTGCTGATTTGTTGCCACCCCTTCATTTTACTACTGCTACTAATAAAATAGGCTCAGGGAAATTAAATGATTTACCCAAAATTTCATTAATGGGTGACTTTGCTCAGGATTTTGGAGTATAGGTAGAAGGAATAGGAAAAAGTACCTTTTTTTAAAAAAACTAAGAAAATGTAATCTAACAGATTTATATAAGTGAGCAAAGCATTTTCTCTTCTGTTTTCAAAAATAAAATGATGAATTCGTAACTTATTGTTCAGCCCAGGGCATGTAAACCATAAAGGATTATTCAGATCTTACACTTTATATTGCCTGATAGTGTCTTCCACCACTAGTTGTCTGTCACTTTGTCCTACTTTGATGGCTTGTGTGTTGCTATGAGGCTGGAGGCTATGCCACTGGTATTTCTAATACCAGCAGAGTCACCCATGGTGGACAGATGTCAGTGGAGCTTTCAAGCTAAGACTCCAAAGAAGGAAGGGGCCATCCACTTCTCAAACAATTGACTATTGAAAACCTTATGAATAGCAGTGAAACATTTTCTGATACAGTGCCAGAAGATGAGCCCCTCAGGTCAGAAGGCACTCAAAATATGACTGGGGAAGAGCTGCCTCCTCAGAGTAAAGCCAACCTTAATGATGTGGCTGGAGTAAAGCTTTAGAAACCTCCATTTGGTGATGTGGCACAACTCAAAATGGGAAGAAACAGCTGCAAACATCCATTAATAATCGGAACATGGAATATGTGAAGTATGAATCTAGGAAAATTGGAAGTTGTCAAAATGAAATGGAAAGCATAAAAATTGATATCCTAGACATTAGTGAGCTGACATGGACTGATTTTGGCTATTTTGAATCAGACAATCATATGATCATCTATGCCAGGAATAACAGATTGAAGAGGAATGGCATGGCATTCTATGTCACAAAAAATGTTTCAAGATCTTTTGTGAAGTACAATGCCGTCAGTGATAGGATAATATCCATATCCCTACAAGGAAGACCCGTTAATACTACTACTATTCAAACTTACACACCAACCACCAAACCCAAAGACGAGGAAATAGAAGATTTTTATCAACTTCTGCAGTCTGAAATTGACCAAACATGCAATCAAGATGTGTTGATTATTACTGGTGATTGGAATGCAAAAGTTGGAAACAGAGAAGAATCACCAGTAGTTGGAAAATTTGGCCTTGATGATAGAAATGATGCTGGAGATTGCATGGTAGAATTTTGCAGGACCAACGACTTATTCATTGCAAATACCTTTTCCCAACATGAATAGTGTCTATACATGTAGACTTCCACCAGATGGAGTACACAGGAATCAGATCAACTACATCTGTGGAAAGAGGTGCCAAAACAAGGCCAGGAGCTGAATGTGGAACAGGCCATCAGCTGCTCATACGTAAGTTCAAGTTGAAGCTGAAGACAGTTGAACAAGTCCACAAGAACCAAAATATGACCTTGATTATATCCCTCCTGAATTTAGAGATCATCTACAGAATAGATTTGATTCATTGAACACTAATGATTGAAAACCAGAGGAATTGTGGGATGACATCAAGAATATCATCCATGAAAAAGCAAAGGTCATTAAAAAGACAGGAAAGGAAGAAAAGACCAAAATGGATGTCAGAAGAGACTCTGAAGCTTGCTCTTAAATGGAGAGCAGCTAAAGCAAGTGGAAGAAATGACAAGATAAAAGAGCTTGAGAAAACAGTCAATTATTATAATGAAATGTGCAAAGACCTGGAGTTAGGAAACTAAAAGGGAAGAACATGCTCAGCATTCTCAAGCTGAAAGAACTGAAGAAAAAATTCAAGCCTTGAGTTGCAATATTGAAAAATTCTATGGGCAAAATATTGAATGATGCAAAAAACATCAGAAGAAGAAAGAAAGACACAGTTGCTGTATCAAAAAGAATTGGTTGATGTTCATCCATTTCAGGAGATGGCATATGATCAAGAACCACAATGGTATTGAAGGAAGAAGTCGAAGCTGCACTGAAGGAATTGGTGAAAAACAAGGCTCCAGGAATTGACGAAAAACCCATTGAGATGTTTCAACAAACAGATGCCATGATGAAGGCACTCACTTGGCTATGCCAAAAGATTTGGAAAACAGCTACCTGGCCAACTGACTGGAAAAGATCTATAATTGTACCCATCCCAAAGATGTGGAAATTATCCAACAATGTCATTGCTATCACACTCAAGTAAAGTCCTGCTGAAGATAATTCAAAAACGATTGTAGCAGTGTATTGACGTACAGCTTCCAGAAATGCAAGCTGGATTCAGAAGAGGATGTGGAATGAGGGATATCATTACTGATGTCAGGTGGATCTTTGCTGAAAGCAAAGAATATCAGAAAGTTGTTTACTACTTACGTTTTATTGACTATGCAAAAGCATTTAATTGTGTGAATCATAACAAATTACAGATAACATTGAGAAGAATGGGAATTCCAGAACACTTGCATGGTTTAAAATCAAGAAGGGAGTGCATCAGGGTTGTATCCTTTCACCATACTTAATCTGTATGTTGAGCAAATAATCCTAGAAGTTCGACTATATGAAGAAGAGCATGGCATCAGGATCAGGGGAAGATTCATTGACAACCTGTGATACGCAGATGACAACTTTGCTTGCTGAAAGTGAAGATGACTTGAAGTACTTACTGATGAAGATTAAAGACTACAGTCTGCAGTATGGATTACACCTCAACATAAAGAAAACAAAAATTCTCACAACTTCCCTGGAGAAGGATATCATGCTTGGTAAAATAGAGGATCAACAAAAAAGGGGAAGGTGCTCAATGAGATGGACTGACACAGGGGCTGCAATGATGGGTTCAGGTATAGCAAAGATTGTGAGGCTGGCGTGGGACTGGGCAATGTTTCATTGTGTTGCTATGAGCCGAAGCTGCCCTGATGGCACCTAACAACAACAACAGTGTCTTCCAGGGCCATAAAAATAAACCATTATGGCTAAAATGCTCTTACATATTCTTGTAGGAATAGGTGAGAAGACTCAAGGTACTTGCCTTTCACTGTAGACCAGTCTTTCACTATAGGTTAAGTAGAATAGAAGAACATTCATTTCAAAATTGTGTCATTTCAGCATATCCAAAATTTTGGAGGGTTAAATTTAACCACTTCTTTTGGTTCTACTATACTGAGATGATATTATAAAAAGGAAAAAATCCTTGTAGATGACTAAATTGTGTCTTGATATATGTTCCTTGCCTACCAAGAGGGAATCTGAGTGGCCATGGGACAGAGACTTTGAATTAGAGCCATGTATTGCCTCTTTTAAAAATTAAATAAGTTGAAATGAGAATTTTCAGTGAAAGGGGATGCTTTATCATTTGAAATAACCTACCAAGTATGAAACAATTAGTTACCATAGTAAGAACTTACAGTACGTTTTTTGGTTGTTGGCTTTTGTGGGTATGTATGTTTGTATGTAATAGTTGTTGAATGTTTTGTTGTTGCTATTTGCCTTGTGGATTTTGCTTTCTTGTTTGTTTTTATTCTTCCATTTTGATTTTACTAGGGAGAATCATTTATAATGTTTCTGTTTCCATATACAGACGATACCCAACTGTTGAAAAACGAGCCAAAGTCTTCAATGGAGCAAGCTATGTGCCTATTCCTGAAGATGGCCCCTTACTTAGAGCATTACTCTTTGAACTTAGACTGTTGGGTGATGATAAGGACTTTGTGGAGAGCCGTGATAGCTGTTCACACATCAATAAAACATCAGTGTATGGACTCCCAGTAGGAGGTGAAGAACTTTGGCCAGTTGTTGCTTTTCTGAAGAATGGCATGATATATGCTTCTGTTCCTCTAGTTGAGCAAACTTTATCCCCACGTCCACCATTAATTAGCATTAGTGGAATTTCACAAGGCTTTGAACTTCTTTTTGGGATTCAGGATTTTCTTTACTCAGGACAAAAAAATGATGCTGAGTTAAATACAAAATTGAGCCAGTTGTCTGACTTGCTTCTGCACACTTGTCCATTTGGTACTTTGTTAGATGCCAACTTACAGAATTCATTGGATAATACTAATATTGCTTCTGTGACTCACCCACAAAAACAGCCAGCCTGGAAAGCTGGAATATACAGAGGAAAACCACAAGTTTCTATTTCTATCATGGAAAAAGTAAAATCCATGCAGTATGATAAACGGGATGTAGCAGATATGTGGCAAATCATTGGAGCTGTAACATGCAAGGTGAGATTTTCTCTGGTAATTGTTTTATCATACCCTTTAACATATATTAAGAGAAGTAAACTTTGCAAACTGTATCTTACATTGTTAGATAAGACTCTTGATTTTTATCATGAGCAGTAGTCATTAGCTTTTAGATCCTTGTGAAATGTTATAATACTACCTTTTTACATTCCTTATAAATTGAATTAGAGTCCCTGGGTCATGCAGACAGTTAACAAACTCAACTACAAGTTTATGTGTCTGCTTTAAACTCACTTCGATCACAATAAAAAATATATTCTAGTTATTAATTTTATTAGAACATACATGGCTCTAAAATTGAGGTGTTTGTAGATTATATCATTTATAAGTCTTAAGTAGTTGAATCATTTTTTTCTCACAAGTTCTGTGAAATAGAAGTAGGAAAATTATGTTTTCATTTCTGTTTTTATGTCATGTATGGCAGTAAATACGGAATATGTTGTTACATATCCAAGAAAAAACAAACCCATTGCCACTGAGTTGATCTCGACTCATGGCGACTCCATGTGTTTCAGAGTAGAACTGTGCTCCATAGAGTTTTCAGTGGCTGTAATTTTAGAGATTGCCAGGCCTTTACTTCATGGCCCCACCAGGTGGATTTGAACCACCACCCTTCAGTTAGTAGAGTGCACATTTGTACCCCCCCAGGGACCTTACATTATATATAGCGTAATATTAAATAATACTAATATTACGCTATATATAATGTAATTACGTATGTGTTTAAATGTCTCAGCTTATTGATAGGCTGACCCAAGTTCAGTACTTATGGGAATTTTAGATTAGTTCCTATTCTTGGTCCTGATACAGATTATCATGATGGAAAACTTTGATTTTTAAAATATGTTTTAAAAAAAGATGAGAGTATACCTTAACCCATGTTACTTAATGTTTCTTTAAGGTTGTGTGTAAGTAATATGACTGTTAGCCAAATAATTTTAAGTAGTTCTGGAGCTTAGTATTTAAAGAAGTTTTACTGAGAAGGCTATTACAGGCATACCTTATTTTACTGTGCTCTGCTTTATTGAGCTTCGCAGATACACATTTTTTATAAAAGTTTGTGGCAGTCATGTGTCAAGCAAGCCTGTTGGTGCCAGTTTTCTGACAGCATGTGCTCACTTTGGGTCTGTGTCACATTTTGGTAATTTGCACAATATTTCAAACTTATTCATAGTGCTATTGCACACTAAATAGACTATGATATAATATAAACATAACTTTCATATGCACTGTGAGAGCAAAAAATTCGTGTGACTTGCTTTCTTGCAGTTGTGGTGGTCTAAAATTGAACCTGCGATATCTCTGAAATATGTCAGTATAAAAAGAAATGATGCTGTTCATTTTATATTAGTCATAGTAGAAAACCTGTGGAATGAACATCTAGTCTAGTCCTCATTCCACCACTGATTCTCTGCCATGGGGTCACCATATGTTGAAATCAACCCATGTTGGCAATGGGTTTGGCTTTTTGTTTTTTTTGCATTGATAGAGAATGGATTGGTTAGAGGAAGGTGAGTCTAGACATATGTGGAGGGCTATGACAAATGGTGATTTCCTAGGTCCACGTGGTTGCAATAGGTTTGGAGAGAAGTCAGTGGATTTAAAATAGCTTTTTTAAGGCTTTTAGAGGTAAGGAGAGAGGAGTCTAGGATCAAACAGTAACAAAAACACAGTAAGTAAGGAGAACAAGACCTTGAGAAAAAAATTAAAACAACCCTTTGATAAATTCATGGCAGGTGTGTGCTTCTAAGGTCTTAGTAATATCCATTTCTGTTTCTATTACAGTGTGATTTGGAAGGAATCATGCCAAATGTTACCATCAGCTTGAGTCTCCCTACCAATGGATCTCCACTTCAGGATATTCTGGTTCATCCTTGTGTGACTTCTCTAGACTCTGCCATTCTGACATCTAGTAGTATTGATACAATGGATGATTCTGCATTTAGTGGACCTTACAAATTCCCATTCACTCCACCTTTAGAGTCATTCAACTTATGCTATTATACTTCCCAGGTAGAGAACCTTAGAAAAGTTGAGACTTCCTTAATCTTTGTATTTATGAGTACTATTGATAGGCAAATCATTCATGTTTTTATCCCTAATGTGAACTTTTCATGAGTTGTTTGTAGACAATAATGAATGAATTCAGATGAAGATTCATTTATTTGAATAGTATGCCTCAGATCTCTGGTGTCTGTAACATCATTAAATAGCTTGCAAAGCCATTAAATTATTTTCTTAGTGTTCCCTGATAAAGAATCCATAATTATAGGACAGATCGTGTTATGATTTAGTCCTGATTTGAATCATAAGCATTAAATACCTCTAGTCCCAGTAGCTCTGTACTTAATAAATACATAATGTTTATCAGTTATTGAATAAATGGTTTGTTAAGTGGCAGAGCCTGGAATTGGACCAAAGTTTTCTAGACTCCACAGAGCCCAACTTCTTTTCTACTGTAATATTTGTCACAGGTCCTAGTTGTGAATCAGGTCTCAAGCTAGGTTATGTAAATGGAATTTTCAGAATGAAATAGGTGATCACGTTGTCAGTCAAGGATAGGAAAAGAAGTAGAGCCAGGCTGTACTGGGACTCAACCTAGAAAATTAAAATTAAAATCATTCTGTAGTCAAGGTTCACAGTGTCTGTCTGATCTCTGTTTCTTGCTCTCCTCTTTCAGCTGGCTTTCTTGGCTTGCACATGAGTTTCCGGCTCAACGGCCTGTATTGTATAAGTAGAGTCTTTCTGCATCTTACTTCAGATGTTCTAGGAAGCATCAGATTTGTTCACCCTAGCCTATAGACTTTTCCCCTTCAGTAATGTATTGATGACCAATCAAGTAAGCTACTGCTGAGCTCTAGGGAGTTAAGGGTCACAGGATACAAATGGGGCAGGAACCCTGGGCAAGGCAGCAAAGATCAATATGCGTGGTACACATTCCACGTTGCAGGTCATAGAGAACCTGAAGGAGGGGAACATGGACTAACAAGAGTAGGAAAAAGAATATATCTCACCTTTGTAAGACACCTTTCTAGTCCTGGGAACAGAGAGAGAGGGAAGAATTACTCTTAGAATGAATGTAGCTCACTGCAAGGCTTTTTTCTCAGTTACTATTGGTATTTTAGATCCATTAACCTGAGAATTATGTACAGATTTCTTTATGTTTATTTCCAGGTCCCTGTCCCGCCAATTTTGGGGTTCTATCAAATTCAGGAAGAAGAAGTACAGCTAAAAATAACAATTAATTTAAAACTTCATGAAAGTGTGAAAAATAATTTTGAATTCTGTGAAGCTCGTATACCTTTTTATAATAGGTAGGCTAAATAAAATAACCTACTATGATTTCTGCCTCCTTAGTACATTCACGCTGCCCTACAATGAATGATTTGTCTTTGTGTTTTGCTTTATTTTAATGTCTAAATAATTTTATGCTGAAATGAATGCTAATTCTGAACCATCATAGTCTTAAAAACAATTCTTTACTTTTAAGTACATCTTCATTTTTCTAGTCAAACTTGCTAGTAAACATTAAACTTAAGTCACAGTAGCTTTCTAAAGGAGTATTCTGCTGGTTTTATTTCTAGTAATTACTCTATACATACATGTCGAGCCCACTATCCACCACCTGGTAAAATAAGTCAATTATATCGTAAGATTACTTCTTCATCAGTTCTACTTTTAAATGTAATCTGCAGTATAGTTCTTTTCAAAGTATACTTAAATATATAGTAAAATCATAGTTTAATATTCCATGTCAATCCATGTGACTGTATTAATACATTCTATATGATTTTACAGTTGTCTTTATGTTTGATAATGAAATGTATGTCATCACCAAAAAATTGTTTCAGTGCCTGTGGTCTCTTTTGAGATAAAATATTATTTACTCAACTGCATTCTTCAAACATAAATATAGATCTGTCTTTGTGCTGCTGTTGTATTAAGTAACAGTAGCAAGGTTTGACTCCCATCTCTTAAAGCTATTTGTCTGTGATCATTTTTTTCACTTGTATCCTTTTTTCTTTCTTTTAATAGAGGTCCAATCACTCATGTGGAATATAAAGTTAGTTTTGGCCAGCTTGAAGTATTTCGAGAGAAGAGCTTATTGATCTGGACTATTGGTAAGTTAGGCTTTGTTTACTTTTTTCCCTCCCTCTTTCATCTGCTTTAGAATCTACTGAATTTAGAATAGTTGATTGGCGTATTTGTGTTTTTAGGCCAAAAGTTCCCAAAATCAATGGAAATTACTCTTTCTGGAACTGTAACTTTTGGGGCCAAGAACCATGAGAACCAGCCTTTTGACCAGATCTGTATTGGAGGTACAGCATATGTAAAGGTAAATGTAATTCTATGGCTCACTACATCAGAAACTACTTTTCTGTTGTGGCGAAAATACACATTCCTTTGTGTTTAAATTGTACATATCTAGTTGATTTGACTGCTAACCAGAAGACTGGTGGTTCAAACCCACCAGCCACTCCTCAAAAGGAAGATTGGGCAATCTACTTCCGTAGAGATACTGCCTTGGAAACCCAAGGAGGGGTCATTATGAGTTGAATCAACTCGACAGCAGTGAGTTTTTTTACTTGATTTTCAATATTTTCCAGCAGTTTTTGAAATTATTTCTTTTTGTTGGGCCTGAGGATTTCTGTGAGATTCTTTTTGTTTAGTAGTAGTCATTTTTATTCCACTTAATATTTAGGAAATTTTAACATGAAGCTGTTAAATATAACTGAAATATCTCAAATTACACTGGTTCTTCCCAGCTCTGGTAGCATAGCACCTAAGGCATTTGACTGCTAACCAGAAGGCTGGTGATTCAAACCCACCAGCCACTCCCTCAGAAGAAATGTTGGGCAATCTACTTCTGTAGTGATACCACCTCAGAAACCCAAGGAGGGATTGCTATGAGTCAGATCTGACTTGACAGCAGTGTCTGCATGTCCCAGCTCTTAGTTATCACAATCAAGATTTATATACAAAAAATGTAAGATGTAGTCCTTGCCTTCCAGGTGTTTATCAATAGTTGATCTGGGCTAAGTACTTTTGGTGTTTCAGGGGAGGAATGAATACTTCCAGCCAAGTGGTCAAGGAAAGCTTTGCAGTAGAGATGAAATTTGAGCAAAACTGAGGACTAAATTAGCATGAATATGAAGTCTTGAAGGTTGATTGACATTTGTATAGGTAAAGAAATGACTTAATTAAAGGAATGAAGAAGAATAAACAAGGCATGCTTAGGAACCAGTGCTAGAAACAGTAGTAACACACAAGACAAGATAATTTAAGTCTAGATTGTAGATTTCTTTGGCAGAAAATAAGTGGGTTTTTTTTTCAGTAGAGGTTGTTGTTGTTGTTATGTGCTGTCGAGTCGGCCCCGACTCATAGCGACCCCTCCTTGGGTTTCCGGGGCAGTATGACTACAGGAAGTAGATTGCCCCATCTTCCTTCCGAGGAGTGGCTGGTGGGTTTGAACCACCAGCCTTCTGGTTGGCAGTCAAATGCCTTAGGCACTATGCTACCGTAGCTCCCTTTCAGTAGAGGAGTGGTTCATAAATTGATACTTTATGAAGATCAGGGTAAAAGGGAGTTGGAAAAACCAGAGACAACAAAATCATTTCATAGCTATACCTGAATTCCAGATGAAAAATAAGTTACTGATGCTGAGCTAGTATAGTATCAGCAGGAGTAGAAAAGAAGGGAAGGGAGGAAAAAGACTGCTATAAGAACTGGGATCAAGGTAAAGCCTTTGGCACTAGTTAAATGTAGAGATAAGAAGTTGCCATAAGTCAAAAATGATGTTATTCAAAGACGTGTAACTTACACCAGTTTGGAAGTTCTGAGAGAGCAGGGAATCCATGTGAATCTCATTCATTGTTTTATCCCCAATGCCTAGTCCACTGCCTCACCCATTAATATTTGTTGAATGAATGAACATATTTATAAGAAAGAACAGTATGATACAGAGAAAGGTGGGAGGGAATGGACTTAATATCTAAATTGCTGGTGATAGTAATGTGTCGCAATGTAAGTGTCCAGTAGGTAAGTAAGTAAAGATCTAACGCTTGATTCTTAAGAGAGAGCTCAACTGGACCTAAGGACTTAGAAGGACTTAGAAGAAGTAGTTGTGGCAGTAGAAATGAATAAGATCAGAAAAAGATAAAATATTAGGAAAATTCAGATGAACCAATGAGAGAAATTAAAGAGATGATCAGGAAAGTAACAGGAAAACATGAGTAGGATGATAGCACATAAATCAAAGAAGAAAGATTGAAATCTATACCTAAAAGCAATTAGGTGTGATAGTAGTGAAGTACACTGGTGATGCTCATTTTGTTCTCTCACCTATGTTCATGAGCATTCTTTCAAGTATTATTGTTACCATTCGTACTTCAATATATTTTTAAGAAAAAAAATGTGGGTGTTACCCCATTGTGCACCTTTCAGTGAACTAGATGACTTTTATGTCTTAGTTATATGGGATTCAACTTTGCCATAACTTACAGTGTTCAAAATTATACCAAACAATCAAGCAGAGCCCTTTCCTATCAGTGATACTCTGAGTTGCAATGGGAAAAACATTTCTGCGACAATCTGGAAATTACATTATATGAATATGATTAGTTTTGCAATAAAGAGAACGACCCTATGTGTAACGGAAAGAAACACAGCCTGGTCCTGCTTCGTACTTCACATCCTTGCTGTGCTTGAGCCCATCGTTGGAGCCACTGTGTCAGTCCATCTCATTGAGGGTCGTTCCCTTTTTTGCTGACCCTCTACTTTACCAAGCATGAAAAGGAAGATGGAAGAAAAGGAAAGTAAAAAAAGATACTAGGATACTGAAAGGAGCCTTCAGCATCAGAAAGCTGACAGCAGAGATGATGAGAACCGCAGCAAAAGGAGCCTAGAGCTCTGCAACAGACTTATAGTTCACGGGACTGTCGTTGTCACTCAGAGCTTTATGCCCTAAGAGAAGGGCCCAACAGCCCACTCTGTTACGGCACAATATAATAATTGGTATTTAGAGTGATGGCTGTACATTATAAATTAAATCCAGAACTATAGATTAAATTTTAGAGAGGTTTCATGGCTGCAGGAAGGGGTAATATCTAAGTTTAGTTCTTTGAAAGTTAAATTTTTGTTTCCTGGAAATTTAAGTAGAGCTGCACATTCCCCCAAACATGAAATAAACCATTGTTTCTGTATTAGTAATTATTCTTGTGTTTTGCTAGAAGGTGTATACATTCCTGCGTGTTGTGAAATACATTACAACACAGTCCTAGATAGAGAAGAGGAGACAGAGCTTACCAGGTAGTATTGGGGATAGTGTAGGGGAAGGAGCACCAGCAGTTGTATTCAGTCAGCTGATCTGAGCTCAAAGGCTGGCTCTGCTGCTTACATGCTAGGGTGCTTATTCTGCCTCTGAACCTCGGTCCCCTTGTTTGTTAAATGGGAGTACTATTCCAGTGTTTTGTTCTATTGTACAGAGTTGCTGTGAGTTGGAACCAACTCAGTGGCACCTAACAATTCCTACCTTGCTGTATGGGTTAGAGCTCGTATTGATCAAATGCTTGGTGTGTGTGCAAACAGGCCATGGGGGCAGCATCTTCTGACCTCCTGAAACTTCACAAGGGGGAGAGAATGGTCAACAGCATCAGCCCAAAGCTGATTACTATGAGGTGGAAGTCAGACATTCTGCCACACTCCAACCTTTTTACCAGTTCCTATACCAATCATCCTGCCCCTGGCACTCACTATTTCTCAGCTGTGTTCAAAAACTCATTGCAGTGGCCACACAGAACTCACAGATGATACTCTTGTTATGGGGTTTATTAGGGAATAGTGGGTTACAATTCAGGTTCAGGAATGCACTCAAGATACAATTCTTTGATCAGGACAGTCTCCCCTCTGTTGTGCCCACAGGCACATCTCTCTTTGGCCTTCAACCTGAGAGCTTGGCCTCTGCTCTACTCAGGCAAGTGTTACAAAGCTCTCTCAGATCTGCCAATAGGTGCACCTAGGTGTAGCTGACTCGGCCAGCAAGCTTTCTGCCCAAAGGCACTCAGCTTTCTTGCTCTATGGGACAGCAAACCCACAGCTCTGTCTCCTGCTGGTCTCAGTTCTGTTGCTGCCCTCTCCCTGCCAGTCTCCCTGCCATCTCTCTGCCAAGGAGGTCCAACACAGGGGCCTTGGGTCCAAGGATGCACTGCACTCCACCTCTGACCCCTCTTTCTTTGAGATCCCCCTTTCTGCCTCTAGGAGGGCTCTTTTTAAGCCTTATTTACATAGTCTTGCCCCTACAAGGGTACCATATACCCTATTTACTTTGCTAACAAGCTATCCAGTCCCCTTGGTAGACCACAAGCACCTCATATTTATGTTTTTCTACCCAGTTATCTGGTGGAAATCACAAACATCTTGGCTAGAAGAACCATCCATACCAAGTAATTCACTGTACCACAATACGTTAAGCACTCCATAATGCCAGCTTTAAAAGAAATGGCATTAATGCGGTGTGAAAGAGAGAGGGGGTAAGGGAAAAGAGAGAGTATGTGTGTGTCTGTGTGTACACATAAAGGTAATCACATATATAATTTTCAAGCTTAATATCAGAGACTTTTATGAATTGTATATGATAAATTCCCTAAAATTATGACAAGGAAAAAAAAATGTAACCATTATTTTTCCAAATAATCACTTCAATTTGGTACTTGTCTCCTTTTTTCTAGCTTCATTTTAAGATCTTAGATTACACACTCACTGGGTGTTATGCGGATCAGCATTCAGTTCAAGTTTTTGCATCAGGAAAACCAAAAATAAGTACACGTAAGTTTTACAGATGCCAACTAACATGAGGAAATTAAATGATGTTATGCAGTTATTACCTAAGGTAAATTTAAATGCAACAGAATTTAGCTCAGAGAATAATCCCAATGTGTAATCTCATACCTGCATAACATTTTATGTACTTTATACATTGTCCTCTTCCTTCTCTTGCTTATAAAATGGTCTGGATGTATAAGGATTGCGATAGAAATGGGCTTCAGTATAAACCTGAATTTGTTTTGCTTTGGTTATAATAAATACTCTCTTTTATTCAGAGGTGTTCCAGGGGCTTAGTTGCTGATCAGCAAGGGTTTGAGTCTGGTTCAGATACTTTATTAACTGTGTAACTTTGGACAAGTTAGTAAACTTCTCAGGGTTTTAGTTTCCTCATCTATAAAATGGAAATAATAGTATTATTTACCTCGGGATTCTTAAAAGGTTTAAATATGTTTTTGTTAACTCAGCACTTAGCATGATGCTAAGCATGTAGTATGGATTCAATAGATATTAGATATTATTACAAAAAATAAATATTTTAGTAAACAATTCATTGCAATATAAACAAGCATTTATTTAGCACCTTCTCTACCAAGTATTGTTGTTAGCTGCCATCAAGTCGACCCCCAACTCACGATGACCCCATGTGTTCCAGCATAGAACTTCTCCCCATGATTGTTACCTTTGCAGAAGCAATTTGCCAGGTCCTTCTTCCATGGAGCCACTGGGAGGGTTTGAACTCCCAATCTTTAGGTTAGCAGCCAATTATAGAAACTGCCTCAGATGAGTTTGTTGGTTGTAAAACAAAATACATACTATATGTGAAAATATAGAGTAAAACCAAATTCACTGGCATCGAGTCGAATCTAGCTCATAGTGACCCTATAGGACAGAGTAGAACTGCCCTATATGGTTTCCAAGGCTATAAATCTTTATGGAAGCCGACTGCTTCATCTTTCTCCTGTGGATGGCTGACGAATTGGAACCACTGACCTTTTGGTTGGCAGTTGAATGCTTTAACCACTGTGCCACCAAGAGCTCCTTATATGAAAATATAGGTAGACAATATACAATTTACAAATGAATTCAAAATTATCAGATCAAATACATACGTGCTTAAGTGACATAAAATAGAATACTATTAGAATGAAGTACAGTTAGCTAAACATACCTTAAGCAGAAGCTTTTTGCCTCATACATTAAGGAGAATAAAACTCTCTACAATACTTAGATAACTATTTATTAAACTAAGGGTTAAGATTGCTAAAATAGGAAGGACTCTATGCTTGATAATTTTAGTAACAGAACTTGAAGCTACCAAATGCTAAGCAATTACTTGTGAACAGCAATAGCAAATTCTGTGTAATGTAATCATTATAAGCCAGTAGTTTTTTCCTCCCAAGTCTCCTTGTGTTTTCTCTTATATCACTTGTTTTGTTGCTTTTTAAAGAAATGCATATATATGAAAGTATTCATAATACATTTGTTTGTTTATGAAGGCATAATATAGTTAAGTCAGTTTAGACAAGATAGTAATAAAAGGCACTGAATACAAACAGACTAATGGTTTAGATTGTATCTATAGGAAATATGTTGTCTCTTTAGATAATAAGGCCCTTGGGTAGTACAAATTCAGGTACTAACCTACAGGTTGATGGCTAGAAGTCATCAGCAATACATAGGAGAAAAGCCTGGTAATCTGCTTCCATAAAGACAACAGCCAAGGAAACCTTGTGGCGCGTATCTGTTCTTCAGCATGTGGAGCCACCATGAGTTGAAATAGACTCAATGGCAGGCAATAGCTATCTGTGGTCAATATGCTATCTCTTTAGAGAGTGCCTAGAATAGTTTAAGTATTTTATTAACTAAACATATTGAAGTGATTTTCAAAGCGTAATTTTCATGATATAGGATGAGAACTTAATATATCAGCTTCTTAATATAAAATATATTGAATGAAAGAGGTCCTGTTAAATACATCATTATGATCAGTGTTTTATTTCCTTTCCTTTTAGTTTCATAAAATGATTGCCAGGTTGTAAAACCTGTATTTTACCATTATCTTGACAATGAAATATATATTCACAATATATAATTTAGTTTTGAAAATAGTTTAGTAGTGCTAATAATAATGCTAATTTGCATAATCATAGCTAACATTTCTTGCTTGCTATGGTGCGAGACACAGTTCTAAGTGTTTTATGTACATTAATTCATTAATCTTCACAGCATTCTGTACACCTACTCCTCACTTATCGACTGTCTCGATCTCCAGCCTTTCATATTTATGACAACTGTGAAAAATCTACTAAGTTTTGTGCATTAACAATGTACATCTGGCAATAACGAACACCAAGGTGCGAGGCGAGAGTAGCGCTGGCTGTGATGGTTAAGGTTATGTGTCAACTTGGCCATGTTTCTCAGTGGTTTGGCAGTTATGTTAATGATATAATTTGGCAGCTATATAATGATGCAGTCATCCTCCATTTTGTGGTCTGATGTGGTCATCCTCTATTTTTCCATAATGCCTATTTTTGCATAATGACCTGGTCTTTGGAACCTAACCATGTTGATAAGTGGGTGTATGAATGTTGTTATTATCTCCATTTTACATATGAGGAAACCAAAGGAACAGAGAGGTTAGGTGACTTGGTTAGGGTCATATAGCTAGAAGTGGTACAATTCCAAGCAGTTTGGCTTAGAAGCCTGCCCTCTTAACCAGTATGCTATGTTGCTTCTCAGTGTGGGATTTGAAAGAAAGATGGATATATATTCTATAGTTTTTTCATTATGAAGTGAGGTATGAAGAAAGGTAGAAAATTCTGAATCGGATATTTAAGAATTTATATGCGTCTAGCTCCAAATGAGGAGCTCTGGTGGCATAGTGCCTAAGGCATTGGACTGCTAACCAGAAGGCTAGCAGTTCAAACCCACCAGCCACTCCTCAGAAGGAAGATTGGTCAATCTACTTCCGTAGTGATGCCATCTCAGAAACCCAAGGAGGTGTCGCTATGAGTTGGATTTGACTTGACGATAGTGTTTGAGCTCCAAACTATAAATGAAGTGATCTTTGGAGAATGTTGCTAGAAACAGTTGGGTGATTATTTCTTTCTCTTAACACTTTGAATAAAGAATATAAGACCGCAATCGGAACCATGGTGAAGAGACTACAGGAGGGGAACCAAAAAAAAAAATTTTTTAATGTTTTTATAGTTGATGTACTGGTCCATAAGAAGTAAAATTTGGGAAAATTTATATTTTTATATATAATTAAAGTAATAATGAGACTATATTTGGGTTTCTGTCTCTTAAATTTAAATAAAAGCTGGCAAGTTTGGCATAAATGAAGGATATATGCATTTCCCTGTTTCATACAAGCTCAAAGATGTAGTATTCAAATATTTAATGTGCCCACATTTGTAAAATGCTAAAAGTTATAATAATGCTTTGTTAAGTAGAATTAAAAAGAATATTTCAAAATATTGCCTTGAAATTATTTCCATAATTTCAAAAAGTTCATGACTTTGTGCTTTAATTTAATCTTTAATATAAAATAATCTTACCATGAATTTCTTTTCTTTTTAGACCGGAAACTAATGTCTTCAGATTATTACATCTGGAATTCTAAAGCCCCTGCCCCAATAGCATATGGATCGTTGTTATTGTAATTTTCTCGTGTTGAAATGAGAAGATTTATATAATGGTAAAATAGCATAAAGGAAATAATTGTCTTTTGTTTTTAATGTGTATTCTTATATAACCAGTGTGAGTGAAAAAATTATTCATTGATTTAGTTATAATATTTGTAGGCTGATACTGCTTAAAAGAACACTTAGAAGACTAATATCTCCAATTTTGTTACATTTTGTTGTTACTCAAAGATGATTCCGAGCATAAAACAATAATGATTTATTTTAGACAAGTCCTGGATCATCTTGCCATCCATGCTCCTTCCTGCCTCTGTGGCAGACATTACTAATCAGTCACAGTCCTCTTTCTCCACTGAGCTTTCCTGGATAAGGGCTCAGGCATCTTCTCAGTGCAGAACTCCAAGCAGCCATTTCCAATGAATAGATGCCATACAAGATAAAAGCTATTTGTTAAGGAACTATAAGCCCTAAGCTCCTAAAGTAGTATGTTGTTAAACAGAACCACATTAGAAATGAATGTAAATCTGAAAAAACAGCCAATGGAAAGAAAGGAAAATTGTTTAACTATTTAACCTGTTCTTCTCAATCAGAACTATCATACTGATTAATAAAGAATCTAGATAATTCTGTTCAAGGTATCCATTTCCATTCTAGAGTTATTTTTTCAAGTATTTGTTAATCTCCCCCATAACACTTTGCTTAGGATGTCAGTTAGCATAGTAAAAGTGGGTGAAATACCTTTAGAAGTTGAACATAGCGTTTTGTGATCATTTAATGTCTGCAGCCAAATTTTAAAAGATAAATTTAGATACATTGTTTTTTCCTTATATTAAAATTTGTTAATGGATGAATTCATATCAGAATTCTAAAGATATTCTTTAGGTAGAGATTAGCATTTATTTGTCTCATGTAACATTTTCTTTAAATTTATCACTCATTTTCTTACCCGCATTCATTTAGTTCTTCAGAAACCATGAAGTCATCCTCTTTATCCTCTACTTAATCTTTACAATGATATGTTACATTCTGTTTACATAGCAGTTCATTGTCAAGTTCATTGGACATTAAGGAACCATTTAAGAGAAGGTAAAATCTCAAGATCCTTAAAACTTAATTCGTGTCAAAGTTCTTTTTATAGAACAGAATTAGAAGCATTATATATATATATATATATATATATTATTTTTGTATATAATTAAAGTAATAATGAGACTATATTTGGGTTTCTGTTTCTTTAAGTCTTCTAAGGAAGACCTTAGAAAAAGCTGCTAACTCTTTAAAGGAGAGTGATGATAGTTTAATGGGATATTGCATGTAAATTTAGTATTTGACATATGAGGTTTTAATTAAAGTCTGTCGCACTCATTATAAACTCATTTTCTACAAAGTGTTACCATAACACAATGTTTCACATGTTCAAAATTATCCCAAGTAACAGAGAAAATAGAATTAACTCCCTGACCAGGACTTTTAACTTGCCATTCTAGCTTAATCACAGATTAAAAAAAAAAACAACTAAAACTCATTGCTGTCAAGGCAATTCCAACTCATAGCAACCCCTCCTTGGTTTTCCAAGGTGGTATCTCTACAGAAGTAAATTGCCCAGTCTTCATTCTGAGGAGTGGCTGGTGGGTTTGAACCACCAGCCTTCTGATTAGCAGTCAAATGCCTTAGGCATTATGTCACCAGAGCTGCAGTAGTAAATAAAGACTTTACTTTTCAAAGAAGAAAGAAAACATCCCCCATAGTTACTTCATCTCTCTTAAATTTGAGAAAAGCTTAACATGTCACTCATGTTAATATTAATGGAGCTATTTGGAAATCTTGATTGTATGAATGTTTAGCAAAATATGCTAAAATAGTCAAGGCATTTATTTAGTGAGTAGGTAGAAATTCAACATCATAACGTACTAGGCAAAGCTTTCTTTATAAACAATTTTTTTAAAAGTAAATCTTTGATTTGATACTCTAGAAACTGGAGGAAACCTAGGAAGTACTGTAAAAGTATAGAAGCTATAGAGAACCTGATGCCATCTGTTGCCATTCCATTCTAACATAACGCTACAGAACTAAAACTAACTCATGTTTTCATCCCATTGAGATCAGCTGAGCACACTGTGATGCTTTTGATTTTGTCTAGAATCCTGTCACTTCAGGATAATTTCTGAAGACAAAGTCTGTTTCCCGTTTGGTAGGTGACCGGTTTAATGTTTTCCCTGTGTCTGGGAACTCCTTAGTGTAATTAGCGACCTTTGAACTCCACAACTAATCCTGAGCTATTTTGTATTCCTTACTCATCTTAAAGGCTGGACCTTTCTTTTCTTCAGAGTCCGCTGCCACAATTAAAGAAGAAACAGCTGCATTTCAAAGGGATTCCGATTCCAGAAGCTTAATCGTGATTGACATGTTCTTATTCTAAGCTATAAGACACTCTTAGAGTCCTTTCTTGGGTTAAAACTTCAATCATTTTCTAAAAAATTATCTCACTATGGATTTTATTCATTTTCTTTGATAACTATTCTTTGCATTTTTTAACTTGAAAGATGCTTTGTGTTTGCAGTGAATATGAGCAGCTATGTCCAGTAAAAGATTGAATAGTGTCAGACCTATTCTAGATGCAAAATTGCTAAATTCTTTACAGTGCCAAAATATGATTATGAAATCTGATGTCTATCTTATGGGTGATGATTCTCCAGTAAACCCAAAAGGTTCAAAAAAAAGTGTTCAGTTTCTGAGAATGAACTCCAAAAAGGATGGTTCATGATTCTGACAAAACCCTTAGAATATTTTTCTTCATTTTTTGCTAAACAATACATTTTCAGCTTTTTAAAGCGAGCAATATAGTAGGAGGCAACACCCAACGATAGGTGTTTTTTTTTTCTTTTTAAATAATTGATTTGAATGCCACATTTGAAGTAAATAGCCTTGTTAGAAATTCTCATGGGAATTATTTGTTTAAAAATATTCTTTTGATTAAACATTAGTCTGTCTTATAAAATAATTTTAATGTTTTCAGTTAAACATCACTTTAGATATCGTACCAATTCAGTATTTCTAATTGGTTGAAATTATTGTGGTTTTATATGTTATACAAAATTTAATGTCTTTCAGACACAGGCATACATAGTGACAACTGCAAATATTTTAATTCTGGTTTTTGTTACAGTATTTCGAAATACTTCATAGGCATTCATAGACTGTGCAGTGCCGCTGGGAGGTGGGCAGGTAGGTGGAACTCTCAAGAGCCTCCGCAGGACTGCTGCTGCAGGAGAGTGGTTGTTTCTGAGACAGAGGTCAGAAAAGGGATGTTAATAAACAGTCCTCAGGTTTAGGGACTTTTTTAGGATTACATCTTAAATTCCAACAAATCAGATTTAGGAGTTACTGAAAGTGAAATTGATCCATCCCTCATCCAAACTTTGCAATACTTTCCTGTTCTGACATCATTTAGATAGTTAGCTGTATTATCAGATTAGAAACCATTGTACCAGACTGCTGAAAGGAAAAGGAGGCAAAAAGCTAAACATGGGATGAATTCTGAACCTTTTAACCTGGCTGAAGTACGTTGGTCCCTGTTATGCAAATACCTTCAATCCTCTGCTAAGTTCAGTGGAAATAATTTTCTTGAATGACAGGTTTATTCAGCAAGGATTCAGTTGGTGATTAATCCCCCTTTGATCTAGGGTATTTCACTTAACTACCAGTTACCTCGTTCTGACAAAGTGCAACTGAGATTAGGGAGATCACTAGAACACTACCAGGGTGTGCGTTTATTCTGTATAACCTTTTAAAGCAAGGGCCAAGAATGCAATTTATTTTCAGTATTTGAAGATGTAAAGTCCTGTCTGCTAAGTTAGAAAGTCAATTGAATACCAAATGAAGTTTATTTCTTACGTAATAGAACAAACATTTCTTTTTGCTTCGCCTAACAATGATTTTAGGAAACATAGGCTTTGAAGAAAGAAGAAACAAAGACTACATTTCTAAATATAGCTCTGGTTTTGTTTCATGTACTAGAGTGTACACTTACTGGCCTTGAGATAACACAAAAATCAAAGCAGTGACACAGTTTAGGTTGAGAAAATGCTTCGATTTTAACTGCACGATTCCTCTCTGATCCCATTAAAAAAGTCATGCTATGTGGTAAAGAAATGCGGTTGGGGGAAAAATGTGATATACGGTAATTGGTCTAAGACTTCTGATTTCAAAACTTTATTTGCTAAAGCTATTTAACAAATTTACTTGTTAACTTTGTCCTTTCTTGAAGAAAAGGAGCTTGTTATATTCCCAATATGATACAAATGCATTCATAAATTATACCATTACCAAAGTACTTGAAAGTAGTTGTTTTAAATTATCAAAATTACCATTTTCTACATTATTCTTTCCTGTTTTCTCATTAATCTGGGTAACTTCTGTTATTGTAAACTTTGATATATAGCCTTTGGACCACTTTATATAATATTTTGAGAAAATTTAAAATGTGTTCATTGCCAGATTTTTCATAGAATTTGCTTTTAAAAACTATTATCAATATCATTGTCTTATTTTTCCTACAATATTTCAATTTAAGGGATATATTCCTCAAGCATATTTAAGACCTTAAAAAAAGAAATAAGATTTGTGATAAAACTTGGTTTTAAAACTTTTGTTTTTATTAGTGATTAGTTTTCTGTGATTATAGACAAAATGTTTTTAAAATCCTTTATACTTGTTAGTCTAGTAACAGTTTGGAAAGGTATTTAAATAATTTTCTTATACTATTTTTTTACTCAAACTTTTTGTGATCTAGTTTATATATGAAAACAATGTCTCAAAGAAGTACATATCTCATTTATGTTCTGTTGGTGCCAAACCAGCCTGTCTAGTTTTAGTTATTAAACAAATAATTGATAAATGTCTTTTGATAGTCAGTTACCTAACCACAGTAAAATTTGACAATTAGGAAATACACAAGACCACATATAGAGAGCAGGATCCCATAGTTATGTTGCTAACAAATTGTGTTTCTAATAATC